GGCCTGCTGTGTTCATCCAGCTCTACACCTTGTTATCTTAAATACAAGTTGATGTTGTTGTTGTTGTTACGTCTTCCTGTTTTTGCTCTGGCCTCTCCTCTGGGTTTTTCCTTCTCCAGCTTTGCCATGAGAAATATAGAAGTATATCACTTTTACAGTTATGGCTACCATGTCCATCTGTTTTCTTTTAAAGATATGCAATACGCTCCCTCTCCATTTGAAGTTTCTGATCTAGTGTCCTCTGGGGCCTGGGATCAGCCTTTTGCTTTGATTCAGATGAATGTTTTGATTTCAGCTGGTGAACAAAAGATTGATCAAAGAGGTTTTTTTTAAAGGCAGTCTTAAATCAAGAGATAGATGTGGACTGCAATGAATTAGATTACTTATTGAGTGTACATTTGTGCATTTCAAGGGTACAAAACTCAGTTGCTGAGTTCCATTAGCTGTGTGCCTGCAGATATTTTGGATCTGGTGTTTCGTATTCCTTGTGGATTAAGTCGTGTGAATAAGTACCTTTTCAAGATAATCTAATTTAATTCAGTTTTGAGATTAGTTTATAAAGTTTCAAATTCCAAATGAGTTCACATAGAAGAGAATTAAGATACTGCAGGATCGTCTTTGGCATTTTTCTGTTCATCGAGAGTTCATTTTTGTTTATTTACTGCTCTATGAATGATAATAGAATTTGTGTGGCAGTTTATACATAACTGCAGTTTATACATAACCACAGTTTTCCAGTTAGCTGCTACACTGAATTGTGTGTTTAGGATTAGATTTCTGAACATTACAACTGTGCTTCAGGAGCTCTCTGAATAGTGTCATGGTATCTGCTTGTCTAATTGAACTATGTCAGTTACTGTGTCATGAGAAGGGCTCAAGCCTGCATGTGCAGTGCATCCTGTTCTGTCCACATAAATCATCATATTAGCGTACTGTTTTTGTGATGGGATGCTCATTCAGTTATTTCTTTCTTGGCTTCAGATCACACCAGTCTATGAAGAATGGATAACCATTGACTGGTATCAATTCTTCTGCTTGTGGGAGAAGTTGTCAGCCTCAATGAAGAGAGTAGCAGAACTAGTTGGAATTGAGGAAGGTTTCTTGGCTCGATCAATTCGGGGGAAACTTATTCCCAAGACGGACAAGCAGCACAGACAAATGGCTATTCACAGAAGGTACTGACGACTTCTTGATTTCTGTTTACCTGTGTGTTTGTCACAGCTTCTTCTTTCCACTCCATAAAATATTGGTTTGTGATTCGAGTAAAGATGCATGGAAATACTGTCATAGACTACTGTGGCCCATGAGGCATGAGGAAAACTGTTACATTTGAAATTTATGGTTACTGATATAACAATTTTATATCTGAATTAATCTCAATTTAATATTTTTCTTTCGTGCTCCACCATCATCGCCAATCCTGCCACATGTTGCTCATTATGTAATCATAAGAAACTAGTTAGAAGCAGGTCCCATATTTGAATGATTTTCCATTCTCAGTCAGGTTGCTGACAGAATATTCCATTTCCTGGGCTGGGTTGTGTGGGGAAGGCATTTCCTCTTCTCTCTCCAGCCAACTCATTACTGAACAAAAATATTTGAACATCTTGGTGAATTGTGAGGAGAAAGATTTAAAAGGGACCTGAGGGGTAACTTTTTCACACACAGGGTGGTTCATACGTGGAATGAACTGCCAGAGGAAGTGGTAGATGCAGGTACAGTTACAACATTTATAAAAGACATTTAGACAGGTACGTACAGGCCAGATGCAGGCAAATGGGACTAATTTAGTCTGAGAAACTTGGTCAACATGGACGACTTGGACCTGAGGGTCTGTTTCCGTACTGTATGACTGTAAACCCAACGTTCATAACGCCTTCCATTACTTGTTGATAGAGCTAGTGTACAAGTGGAGTTTACTCATAAACAATTTTTTAAAAAAGTAAAGTGGGTAAAGAATATAGAAAATAATTTTGTATCTAACATTTTCTTGCACTTCCATGTGTCAAATGGACAAAGCTTGTATAAAACTTGAATCAAAAATGTCAGTGTTAATGTTCCCTCAATAAATATCATCAATAAAAAAATTCTTGACTCCTAGCTGATAGTAGTATTTTTCTGTATGTGAACTGCTCTATGTGGCTATGCAATAAATCATTGCATTTCAGAAGTACTTTGTCATTATTGCTAGCTTCCCTAAGTGCATCAATACCAAGAATAATGGGATGTGACTGCTGTGACCTGTACATGTTGTGACGCCCAATATCAGCCACACTGTAGAAATATTTGTATCATTTATGGATTACCCCAACTTCCAGCAACCCTGTTCATGTTTGTGTGTTTATCTGTTTTGGCCTCTCAGCCTGCTATAGTTAATGCAGAATCTATTGTTAAGTCACTATCAATTTCTTGTATACCTGAAGGCTGTAAATGTTATCCAGAAACAACATTGTCTTCTAAATCTTTTTCTCTCTTCTGAATTCCTCACTCAGTACCTTCTTGTTCTATGCAGCTCAAATTGAGAATTGCAGAGAGCAAATTTTCAGTCTTGTGTCACGTTACACTCACTTTTTACAGACCTTAGTATTACTGCACTTCCAGTAGATTACGTTTTCCATTGTAACTATTGACAGCAGGCACTCTGGTTACAAGACACTAGATTTTTAATTACAACTTCATTTTGCACCAAAATAGGAAATCACAAAATATTTACTAGCACACACATTTTACATAGTTCACTTAAGTCACTTTTTAAAATTTTGCAAACTAATCACTTCCTATAAAGTCAGGGCTCAAAATTTTAGACTTTATTTCTAGAGGGATGGAATTGAAAAGTAAGGAAGCTGTGCTAAATTTGTATCGAGCCTTGGTTAGACCGCACCTCTGTGCATTTATAGTTATGCAGTATAAAAGACATACATGCACCAGAAAAGGTGCAAAAACATTTACAAATATGAAATGTGTATAGCAATGGGTAAGCTCAATCTCTTAAGAGAAAGCTGAAGAAAAAACAAGTAGGGGTCTTTTAAAATTAAGAGTGATAGAGTAAATGCAGAGAAAGTCTTTCTTTTGTGGAGATGATCAAGACCAGACTCATCAATATGAAATAGTCACCAAGAAATCCAGTGAGGACTTCAGAAGAAATTTCTTTATAACCAAAAAGGGGTGATAATGTAGAACTTGCTGCCAAAGGGGATGGTTTAAGTGATTACAGTTAACCGCTGCTTAAACGTTGACTCACTTAATGTTGTTTTACTTTAATGATGTTGATAAAATTGTGTCAATGTATCCATTTAATGCTGTGAGCTTCACTTTAAAGTCATTTCCCGTTCTTTTGCTTGCCTGCTCACAAAATGTTATCCTGAGGGCTTTTCCCACTTTCCAAAGTCCTGAAGGCCTCCCAGCACAAAAGTCTACTACCAATGCTAATTAGATAGATTTCTACGTCTGCTATGCATATAATAGAACGTTAGATATGAATATAGCTTAACTATTGATAGTCTTGAGGTTCACTGCATTTTCAGTGTAGTTATATGTCATTGATGTATATTCAACTTATTGTTACATTATAAGTGTTTATTTTTGAGATTGTCAGTTACATTGGAAGCTATTGGTTAACTCTTGTCAGTTTCCAAAGTTGACCTCTCTGTGTAGTTGAAGAACAGATTCTGTTCAGAATGTCTAATTTTAAACTGAAATTTTGACAGCATGGTGGATTGAAAGCATTGAAAATGATTTCTAGAATTCTGTAGGGTTTTTGATGTAAAACTTGAATGCTTTATTATTGTGTTATGAAAATGATATGCTAGCAGAATTTAACGTGAATCTTGACGAATGTGCGTGCCTAATTGCATGTTTTCCTATTGCTCCAGATTTTTTACTAGCCTTGTGTTACTCGATCTAATCAATGAAGTTCCTCTTGGAATTGTTGCAAAGAAATATCACTGCAATCGAGGACAGCTTCAATCTCTGCAGCAGTCTGCAGCAACCTATGCAGGCAAGAGTTATAAAAAATGACAAAATAGCTCTAAGTGAAAACTGTATATGCTGCTTTTGAGCAGAGTTGACTGTAGTTCTCTTCTTTGATTGATTTGCTCTGGAGTAACACAATTCTTTCCTAAAGCTATTTGACAGCAATGAAATTATTAACTGATCTTTTGTATCTTCTATAGGTATGATAACAGCATTTACTAATCGACTCGGTTGGCATAATATGGAGCTGCTACTGTCACAGTTTCAAAGCCGTCTTAGTTTTGGTGTTCAGCGACAACTTTGTGATCTGGTGCGGATTTCTTTGCTGAATGCACAGCGTGCTCGAGCCTTGTATGATGCTGGATTTGGCACTGTATCTGAGCTGGCACAGGGGAACCCTGCTGATGTAGAAACTGCTCTGAGAAAAGCTGTCCCATTTAAAAGGTATAGCTTTAACTGGATATGTAATATTTGAGTTTTAAGATTTATAAATATATAGATATAGGTATATCAATAAACCTTACAACACAATTCAATTGATTTTGTGCAGGAGTGAAATTATAAAAATAAATTATAAAAGCAAAGAGAGGACAAAAAAAATTGGCAGGAAAACACAGAGATGTTTTATAAACACACAGCAAGTGAATAGAAAAGTAATGACCAAAAATGGCAACCTTTATGTGGAGATATGGGAAATGCTCTGAATGAAGACTGCACATTTGTGCTCACAAAAGAGGAACTAGAGTCACAGAATCATAGAGCATGGAAACAGACCCTTTGGTCCAACTTGTCCGTGACGACCAGATATCCTATATAAATCTGGTCCCATTTGCCAGTATTTGGCCCATATTCCTCTAAACCCTTCCTATTCATATACCCATCCAGATGCCTTTTAAATGTTGTAATTGTACCAGCCTCCTCCACTTCCTCTGGCAACTGATTTCATACATGTACCACTCTCTGTGTGAAAACGTTGCCCCTTAGGTCCCTTTTAAATCTTTTCTCTCTCACCTTAAACCTATGCCCTCTGGTTTTGGACTCCCCCACCCTGGGGAAATGACCTTGCCTATTTACCCTATCCATGCCCCTCATGATTTTATAAACCTCTATAACGTCACTCCTCAGCCTTTGAAGCTCCAGGGAAAATAGCCCCAGCCTATTCAGCCTCTCCCTATAGCTCAAACCCTCCGACACTGGCAATATCCTTGAAAATCTTTTCTGAACCCTTTCAAGTTTCACAACATCCTTCCTATAGCAGGGAGACGAGAATTGCATGCAGTATTCCAACAGCAGCCTAACCAATGTCCTGTACAGCTGCAACGTAACCTCCCTACTCCTATATTCAATGCACTGACCAATAAAGGCAAGCATAACAAACACCGCCTTCACTCCCTTACCTACCTGTAACTAGCGCAGACACTGTAATTAAAGAGGAGGAATGTAAAATATTTGATGGAATGAAGAGTGAACTAAAAAATAATTAGGAGCTTAGTGGCTTTGAACATGGTGAAATGTGTCCCAGGCTGTTAAGAGAAATAAGGGAAAGCTAGTGAAGGTGTTGACCTACATTTTCCAACACTCCCTAGCTACAAGCATGGTGCAAAAGAACTAGAGAGCAGTGAGACAGACTGACAAATGGCAGGCCAATCTTGGTCAATTGTTAGGATAAAATTAATACCACTTAAAAGCTCAAATTAATCAAGGACAGTCAGCATAGACTGATAAGGAAGATGGTTCTAAGTTGAATTTTTGTTGGTAAATGTAGAAGGCAGAGTCACTTGAAGTACTGTGCTTAGTGTAGACTCTGTGGACCTCAGCAAAGCTTTTGAAAGGGAGCCAACTACCAGACTGCTTAGAAAGGTTAAAAATATGGGATCCCAGTGAAGGCGACAAGTGGGATTCAGAGTTGGCTCAGTGGTTGGAAGCAAAGTGTAATGGTGACAAGAAAACTATTTCAGTGGGATCCTGAACTGAGTGGATAGTTTTTTCAGAACATTTCTACATTCTGTAAACTTCCATGATTCTGATAAATTTAAAGTTTGTGATAGTTTCAGTAATAAAGCTTGCAATAGTCCTATCATCATGCCAGAAATAAACTTACCAGCAAACTAAATACTTGTGCTGAGAAAATAAATATTGAAGCTCAAAAATTGTTCACTAAAGGATTACTCTTTTGTTTTGTACATTAGTTCCAGGAGAGCAGTTGATGAGAGTGAATGTGAAGCTCTAGAGCGCAGGAAAACACGATGTATCTGGGTGAGTGGAAGGAAAGGACTAACTGAAAGAGATGCTGCTATCCTGGTTGTGGAAGAGGCCAGGAATCTTCTTCAACAAGATCTGGCTTCAATGGGTATTGAATGGACCCCTGACCAGTTGCTAACTGTGATACAGCAGGAGCCTTCCCTGGCAGCTGCTGCGCCTGAGAATGGTCTGGAATATGATAATGCTGCACCCTTAAATCCGAATTCAGTAGCACCTGAAAAAAGCCATGGAGTTCCAGACATTTCAGTCACTGACTCATTGGAACATATTGCTACCAAGACTGAAGTGTGTTATGACAAGAATGCAGAAAACCTGGATTCTAGTTACAGTAGGGAATCCACTAACAAGCAACCACCAAATGGTCTTACCGAGGAAAATATAGGATCAGTTGACAGGCAATGTAAGATGACTGTGGAGAATTTGAATCTATCAAAAGTTCGGCAGCATTTTTTCAATGACATACCATCTGTAAAAACCGTTATCAATGCAAATAATTCCTTTCTGGTGACTAATGACAAAACAAGTGTTGGAGACGCTAAAAATAAGAAGAATGTTGGAGAAAATACAGCTCAAACCGTGCACCACATTTGGGCTGACAGCAATGCCATTGATGCTGTAAATCACAAAGTACATGGGCATCCAGTAACTATTAGTGAGGAAAATAATACGCATGACCTAAATGTTGCTGAAGGCAAGTCTTCTGTGATGCGTTCTGTCACAGGAGTATTTGATGAGAGCTTTCAGTTGGATTCACAGATTGAAAAGATTATAGAGCAAGCTACTGCCGCTGAGTTGTTGCCCAATTGTGAAGATCAGCAAGATACTAAAAGGTCTAAACTAGCCGGCAAGTTCAGGCCAGAAAGTGGTGAGAGCCTAGTTACTGTTGGAACTAGTGCAAAGCAATCCAGCAGTAACACTTCAAATGGAAATGAGGTATCAAAACATAAGTCTGCAGCAAGTGAGAAAACACTTCAACTAGCACATCCTAGTTTTTCTGATGGTCATATGCGAAGCTCTGGAGAGTTTTCCAATTTAATTAAATCCATAACAGGATCACCTAATAGTCTTCCAGCTCCATCATCTGAAACAGGTCCCTCTTCATTGAAAGCCAATGATTTTTCTTTAACTGATACCCAGCTGCAGAATTTCATGCTAGATTATAAGACCCCAGCTTCTATTGAAGAAAGTGTCCCAGCTGTTACAGTTCAAAAATTAAATAGCATACTGGATATTCCAAGTTGCAATGAAGGAGAGCTCCGGTTACAAGAGCTTTGTGTCCATTCCAGTACTGATTATGAGACAAATCTGAATATCAGTGATAGCTTATTTGATAGTTTTACAGAAGTTTCCTCCAGTGATGATATGTATGCACAGATATTTCCACCTGGCCAGCAACCTCTACCTAAAACTGATATGAACCTGGAAAATCAGCCTTCCCATAGGCCGGTAATAAACGACGGAATACCGGATCAGAATAACATACAGAAAACTGTTGCTGAAGCTCCTGAAAAATATTTAAATTGGAATGAGTTGTCCTTCAATCTCTCTGATTTTAGAGATTCCTACCAAAATGGCAATTCTGACAATTATTGCCTAGGGGGCTTAAGGATGTACAATCTGGACAATGATACATCTGACATTGCCGAGAGTTTAGGTTTACGAGAACAGGAGAAGATGAATAGTCAGATAGAAAATGGCAAACCACATCAGGGCACATTAAATAAAGGGTTACCTGACTGTTTGGTGGAAAGTAAGGTGGCAGATAACAGGAAATGGATGCAGTCAGACGCTCAACTTGATCGAAGTCCAGAGATAAATGAGCTACTAAATCAATTGCCAGCTCCTTTGGATCAGAAATATTCAAGTGTAAATGGACAAACCAATGATCAGGAGAAGGACCACTGTTTGAGAAATCTCTCGGAAATGTATGGTTTTCTGAACTATGCAGCACAAACATCTGAAACTCCAAATCCACAGCATGTGCTGGTGTTATGTCAGACAGAGAAGGCAACTAATAAGGTTTCACTAAATCAGGGCCGAAAAACAGACGCAAGTAACCAGTCATCACTTTTAGAAATGGAAAAGCTGCCAGGGTCCAGACCAGACAGTCGGAATGAAGTTCCTCCAACACCACCCAATGAACCTGTGACTCCCAGAATCAAAACCTCTTTGACTGCAGTGACAGGTGAAAAGTGCCAAAAACGATCTTTACCATCAACAACATATGTTTGTTCTTTTCATCATTCTGATTTTGGGAGAGAAGAAACAGGAAGTTCCCAATCACATTATGTTAACTGTAGTCCTGTGATGAATGGTAATGATGATGTTGATGGCTCTTTCGTAGGGGAAGGGTTTTCACTTCAGCTCTCACAAGACCACTTATCACCACCGCCCAGCTCTTGCAGTGCAGAAACATTCAACATTATTGATGTGGCGAGTAGCCGAGCCCTATTCCAGACATTTATAAAGGAGTGGAAAATGAAACCAAGATTCTCACTCTCAGCTGCTTGTGAGAAAAAGGTACACGTTTTGTCACCCAGCTCCGAGATAGGTGGCAGGTTTAAGCAAGGTGCGTAATTTGATCTGTATTTATAAAACATAGCAATCCCTGTAGTAACAGACTGCTCTAGATGGTCCTTTTGCCACATTCCATATTTTACAAATTTACTTCAAAGTCTGTGTTTCTTGTACGAATATCGCCACATAGAAATTTTCCAATCTGTCTTCTGCTGACTGAGGGAAATCAGTTTCTCTAAATGGAAGAGAAGTTTGAATGTAACTTATTTCTGTTCCCTACTGCTAATGATTACTTCCAATCTGCCTCAATAGGATATCTCATTGCTAATAAAAAAAATGAAAGTAACACTTCTCTCAACAACCATCCTATGACAGCTCAAAGATTACCAAATTAGTGCAGACTTATGCTCACTTTTTAATTTTGTTGTGATTCCATGCCCACTGGAACCGTAATGAGACAGGCCAGGCTTATTTGGTTTAAGAGCCACACCACTTGAAGAGAAGGGTCGGTGTGACTTGCTTTTGAGCCCAGGTTTTTCTAGACTTGTATCAAAGCCCCGTACCACCTAGCTCACTTAAGATTTTTTTTTAAATCGACTTGCTAAAATCAGAAATTCTTGTACAAATGCCTTGTATTTTCAATGGATAGGGAAAGCATTCAAATTTTCTGAAGCTTTTCAATGTTACTGGTAGAATCTATATCACTCATTGCTGGAAATGCCCTCATTAGTTCATCTCTCAAACAACTTGACGTTGTCAGTGTCTATTGACATAAGGTGATGCCAGTTACATTGTTAGGAACTTTGCTAGGTACTAAGCAAAGAGAGACTATGTGTATTTATTGATGGCTATTTGGGTAAATAAATTTGCATCAAACATTTGCATTTGAATACTATATACAATAGGAGTCCAGAAAGGAATTCATTTTTCTGTATGATTATGCAGAGGCACAGAATTGTTGGCGTGTGGAAGGAGGCCATTTGACCCATTGTGACTGCACCATCAATATGTAGAATTTTAATTTTATTTTAACATCTATAATTATTTTCTAGACAAGACTGCTGCAAAAGTTCAGGCCAAGACAAATGGATTTGAAGTGAGCAGCCGCAAAGGCCTTGTTGTAGTGGGTTTGTGCGTGTCATGGGGAGGGAAGGATGCTTACTACATCTCATTGCAGGAGACTCAGGAAATTACTGGTAAGAAAATGGCTTAAATAACAGCTTAGGTCAATCTAAATTAGTTTGGAAAATCTTTGCCCTGGATTGATTTGTTTAGATTACCCTCTCTCCCAACAATCAAATATCTTAACCTAGTCAGGCTGCGAATTCAGCGTTGATTATAATTCAGTTTGTTGTTATTCAACTACATACAAATAAATATTGTACTATTGAAGCTGCAGTTCCTGTTACACTCCTAAATGTGCTTTGGTGCATCTTACTATGTTAAAGGGGCACTATATAATCAGCAATGATCCTATTGAAGGGTGGCGCAGGCTTGAAGGGGTGATTGGCCAACTCCTGCTCCTATTTTCTATGTTTCTATAATCCTTTTTTAAAATTCCTTTTAAAAGGTGATTTAAGCAACAGTTTGGCTCCTCCACCTCTAGACCCTGAGCTGTCTGTGAAAGAAAGGCTTCTTTATATACGTTCATGTTTACAGCAAGATGCGACAGCTGATGGACAGCGCTTTGTTATTACTTATGACTTCAAGCAACACTACAAAACTCTCGTTGAGGCTTGCAACATCTCCATGGAAGGCATCTATGAAGATCCAAAGGTTTCAATTAATTTTTACTGGAATTTTGAGCCAGTTGGAAATGAACTAGCTTCCATTTCAGATCTGAAATGTCACTTTGAGAGCTGAACTGAAGTAAATATTTGTTTTCCCTTCCAGGTAGCATGTTGGCTGCTAGATCCTGGATCCAAAGAGAGAACAATTCATAACATGGTGACCAATTTTCTCCCCCAGCAGCTTTCATTACTGGAAGGTGTAAGCACCAGCCACGGTATTCAGAGTCTTGGGCTGGGTGCAAACAGTGACATCTCTGGGCGGACCAGAGCCTCCATAGAGTCAGTACTGGTCTACAATATAATGAATCAACTTCATTTGCTGCTTAAGAAAGAAAATATGCAAGGTAAATTGGAGATCCTGTGATGTAATATTGTGCAGGACTGAGTCATATCTTGAGAAATAGAGATTGGATTGTTTAATAGCATCTTTTGGACAAATCTTCATATTTAGCTTAAATTCTGTTTTAAAATTTCATTGCTGAACCATCCAAATTTGGGAAATGATTAAAATCAATTGCAGTTAATTGAGATACTCATTAAAGGAGACTGCAACAGAATGAAGCTAAGAATAGGTATGTGTGGAATTTAACACATAAAAATGAAAGATGATGCATTTTGGCAGAGGGATTAGTGAAAGCAATATAGATTTGATGCCATAATTCTACATCTTATGGAGGACAGAGCGATCTGGAAATTTGTGTATATAGATCTTTGAAGGTAGCACATCATATTGAGAAAGTAGTTAGAGATATTGAGTACAAATATAGAGAGATTCTGGTGAACCTTATCTCGGAAGGCCATAACTAGGTAAGCTAGGTGCTAGTTAGAAAAGAAACTGGAGAATTGAGGATTGAACAGTGGCTGGAAAGCTAGTGTAGGAGGAAGGGCATCAGATTCCCGAAGCATTGGGATTGGTTCTGAGGAAAATGGAACATCTACAAGCTAGGCACTCTATGGCTGAAAAAGACTGAGGTAAATATTGCAGGGAGATTTGCTGCTGCTGTTGGGGAGGGTTTAAACAAAATTGTCGGCAGGTTTGGAACTTGAGGGAAGATTCAGATAGGGCAGATTCAATAAAGTGTTTTAAAGCCTGGAGAGTAATCCTATTCGATTGATGATCAGTTTAAGCTAATAATACTATTCAAATGTATAGTGCCTTTAATGTAATGAAACATCTCAAGACGCATCACAGGAACTTTATAAAATGAAGTATGTGACTGAACCATGTGTGAGGACATTACACTACGTTACCAAAGACTTTTGTCTTTGAGGGAGATTTTAAGGACTGTTTTAAAGAGAGAAGCACAGTGGAGTGTGTAGAAAGGAAATTTCAGAGCTTTTGACTGAGGAAGCTGAAGGTCCAGCACCAATTATGGAGCAGTTAAAATTGGGCATGATCAAAAGTCAGGAATTGGAGAAATGCAGATATCTCTGAAAGTTGTGGGGCTGCGACGGCAGATTACAGAAATAGGAAAGGTTGAGACCAAAAAGGGATTAGTAAATAACAAAAAGAATTTTGATCTTAAGATGTTACTTGAACAAGAGCCAGTGCAAGTCAGCAAATGATAGATGAATGGAACGTGGGGTGAGTTGATGCAAACAGAGTTTGAATGACCTTAAGTTTACAGAAGTGGGAATTTGGGAGCCCAGTCTGCAGTGCATTGGAATAGTCAGTCAGCCTTGAGATCACGGCTAGCTTTCCCTGCACTAGGTATTTTAGATTGTCATGTTCAACTATACTGAACCCTATTGCATAGACATAAATGAGATTTCAGCAGCAATTCAACCAAGTTAGGCAATGGTTAAGGTAGAATTAGGCAGTCTTGGGGATGGCGTGAATATGGATGGAAGCTCACCAGCAGATCAGATATGATATCAGGTTGGAACTGTCTGGTTTAATCTCCCAAGAAATGACAATAAATCACTCCCTCCACTCTCCCCCAAGAAAACCCCAAATTTCCAATCCTGCAATAGAATAGGACAGACAAAGCCCCAGAAATAAAAGCCTTTGCACTAATTTAGGAGAATTCTCTTATGACATACCTCCACAATGGTGTTAAATTTTCTGGCATGTAATTTTCTTTATTCTGTTGCAGATACGTTTTGGAATGTTGAAATGAAGACTCAATATTGCTTGGCCTTGCTGGAGATGAATGGAATAGGATTCAGTACAGCTGAATGTGAGAACCAGAAATGTCTAATGCAGGCTAAGCTAGCTTTCATAGAGACACAGGCTTACCAGCTGGTAGGCCACAGCTTCTCTCTGACCAGTCCTGATGATATTGCTGAGGTAAGATTGTAACATACGCCTGCAGTAGTGTTGAGGAGTGTGGTAGAGTTTTTATTAAGAGATTAGGTGAGGGCATAAGGTATCTTTTGCCCTTACACCGGAGAAGTTGTCACTTGAGTTGACTCTGTTACGTCCATTTCAGTGCAATATTCGAATTGCAGTTTCTGTTGGGACTAATTTCAGGTCCTGATATTGGTAATGTTTTTGATAGAATTTAGACTTAATGTTGGGTTGAAATATAAATGTACTATGCATGAATGTTCGATTGAAACCTAAAGTACGTGCATTAACATTTCATACTATCCACCATACTTTGGTCCACCTTTTTATAAAATTAGGATTTTATATATGATCTACATGAACCTTTCGTCACAGCCAGTAGATTTCACTGCATCAATTATTTTAATATAATCTCTACAGTGGTTTCAGTTCAGTACAAATACTTGCAAACTAATCAACGGTGTGAAATGTCATACAGGAAGCCTGGTTCTAAACTTGTTTACAAGAACACAAGAGAAAGGAGCTGGAGTAGATCATGTGGCCTATCAAGTCTGCCTCATCATTTGCCCTATTTTCTGGCCCACTCCCCATTTCCTCTGATTCCACAAGAAGGCAAATTTTGTCTACTTGAGTCCTAATGTTTCTCAGACTCAGCAATTTAATTCCTGTTGCAGGTTCTGTTTTTGGAGCTCAAACTTCCTCCCAATGGGGATACCAATACTAACGGCAAGAAGACACTTGGTTCCACAAGGAGAACAGCAGTTACAGGAGGGTGTCGCAGGCTGGCCAAACAGTTCAGCACAAATAAGGTAATTGGCTGGTTCTTGTGCAAATCTTTGTACTTTCTTAATTCAAAGAAAAATAAGAAGTAAATTGTTGGGAATTACATTTTAGAAATGGGAATGGGAATACATTTCAATATTTGTTTAGAAGATAATTTAAGAGTGAGCAATAGAAGTGAAATGAGGTATGTATCCATGAATTATAGATTATGAGAAAGATTACACAGTGAAACATGAAAGTTTAATAGATGTCCTGCTAAGAGTTGGAATAAATTGTGAAGACATGAGGCATTTGAGGAATCTTTATTGGCAACAGCAAGCAACAATAAGAGTTAGTGAATTAAAAGCAACAACTATCATAGGACTAGTGAAATAAAGAATGGTGTGTTACATCACACAGGCTTTTTAATATGTAAACTGAATTTATTGAATTTAATCCTGAATTATTACTCAAGGTAACAAAGGTCCATAAAAATTGATAAACAGCTGAAGGTTTACAGTACAAGTTGCTGACGCAGAAGGTAAATCAGATTTTAGATTATGAGTTAAAGGTAATATCTGTAAGTTGTTGGTAAATGCAAAGAAAAGAATCATAGGTTTGTTTGTATGAACAATATAAAAATGGAAAATGCAAATTAAAAACAAGACATCAAGCAAAGAATAGTAATTCAAGAATTACAGAGCAATAATTCACAAAGGACCATAGTCATCTCTCTCCATTCGAGAGAAATAATTAGTTATCAGTAGCTTGAGCAAAATGTCTCCATAAACATGAGGTAAAGTGAAGAGGTAGGTCTCTGTGAACTGTCATTGTACAGGGACTGATCCTACACTATTGGCTTTATTTTACACCACACTCTAGTCATAAAGCTAATTGAGTGAACCAAAAAATGTAGATGGCTGCAGGCTTTTGCCTTGTGGTACAGTAGGCAAAGAATATGTGGAAATATTTTTAGGCTCAAATGATTAATACAACGATCTACAAACCAGCATGGAGTAGCACAAAGATGCCAAGAAGAAATTGCATGTTTGTCTCATCCAAGTCTATCACATCTAGACAGCAACTAGGTATCAGCAAAACCCTGTTACATATGGAATGGAGACTACTATTTAGAGTAACTTTATGTATTTTTGAAATAATGCATGTCAGTTGTTCACTATTTTTGTAGTGCTTTTGACGTGTTATACCTATTTTACATATGTTTTTGGAAGTTTGTCTTTTATAAATCTGATCGGTCATTTATCTATTATACCATTCAATGTTTTAGGAAGTATTGGAGAAATTAAAGCCACTTCATCCTTTGCCAGGCTTAGTCTTGGAATGGAGGAGAATTACTAATGCAATGTCCAAAGTGGTATTTCCCCTGCAGCGAGAGAAGCACCTGCATCCTCAGTTGGGAATGGAGAGGATCTACTCTATTTCTCAGACGCATAGTGCAACAGGTAAATGCTGATTTCACTGTGTCCTGTATCAAAGCAAATGATACATGTTGTGCGATTCAGTGAGCCTTGATACAGAATTTGCATCAATAAATACTCTTTATAACATTGATCTTTTCTTCAATGGAGTGGAAATGCAAGCCTTCAGGAAAGTTTTGAGTCCCTTGTATAATGGAAAATGCATACAGTTCTGCAAACCTAATTTTAAACAATGAGATGCCGCCATTTTGCATTCTATACTTTCCCAGCTGGCACACAAAACTCCCTGATTTCATCATTTGGAGTAAAGAGCAGGGAAAAAAAGACAAAGCCACACAATATGACCAAGCATGCAGTTTTATTGCATTGCAAATGAAATGGAAATCTGGCTAAAATATTCGTAGTGTTTCTTCATCTCATTTCTGAGGAAGGGTCACTGGACCCGAAACATTAACTCACAGATGCTGCCAGACCTGCTGAGCTTTTCCAGCAACTTCTGCTTTTGTTGTTGTTGAGACTTGTATAGTGCTTGTAGCCCAGTTGAAATTGAGCTTTTTGCAAAAAAAGAACCAGAATAATAAGTTAATTCTGAACAGAATGTACCATAATTACATGATTTATCACAAGATTTCACAAACATTGTTTTGTAATTGTTTCTCATTCTAATGAAGGAAATGTAATGGAACATTTTGTTAGAGATTTTGCGATACTTAATTTCTATTGGCTTTCCTTTTGAATGTTTTCATTTGATCTTGAACCCACTCTCTTATTTGATTAGGTCGAATCAGCTTTATGGAGCCAAATCTGCAAAATGTGCCAAAGGATTTTGAAATTGAAATGCCAACAGTGATCAGAGAGAGTCCCCCCTCTCAGGGAACAAGCAAATCAGCTATTTCAACAAGATTCAGGTACCTCCTCCAAATGAGATCCTCACAGAGCTCACCTTTCGTGAAGCAAAGTAGTGATTTGTTCTTTAGATGATGCTTTGTGATTTTCATATATTTATGGATTATCCATCTGTAACCAAGATGGTTCATTTAAATAGAGATAACAAGGTGTAGAGCTGGATAAACACAGCAGGCCAAGCAGTATCAGAGGAGCAGGAAAGCTGATGTTTCAGGCCTCGACCCTTCGTATACCTGTTCACTTACTTATCACTATAATTTCACAGTGAAAGTATAGAAGGGATATTTATTACCATATAGCATTAGATAGAGATTATGTATGATAGAGAACCTTGATCTGTAGCCATCTTTATCTAGCTACATGTAAACATACAACATTTTACATCCTAGATATATATATTATTTGTAGTTTAAAAATAGTATTCTGCTTGTTTTCCTTTCCTGTAACAATTTTTAGAGTTTGATTTATTTTGTTTTCTCCTGCTTAGTTCTTAAATCTTTACAACATTTTCATCATTTCTGCTCCTTTCTTAACTACTGACTCTGTGGCTGTAATAAAGATTTACAATATATTAGAACATAGAACACATGCATAGAATACACATGAATTGTACCTTATAAACAATGTCCAAGGCAACACCATCACCTTAGTATGTCCTGTCCTTCTGGCAGCATTGATGGAACAGAGGTGGTGTCATAATGGTATAAAATCGAGAGGGAGTCTTCAATATTTACTCAAGACGCCATGGCATCAGGCCAAACATGCAAAGGAAACCTGCTAACTACCATGTACTATGTCCTTTTGGCTGATCACTTCCATATTTAACACTACCTGGAGGGTGGCAAAGGCATAGAATGGACTCTGGCTCAGGTCTTCAAGGACCATCAGTAAGAGTGGCTCAGCAGCACTGGTACTGACCTGGCTGATCTGGTCCTAAAGGACATTGCTACTACACTGGACCTGTGGCAGGTGGTGAGCGAACTAAAAAGAGGGAAAAATATACTTGATTTCATCGTCACCAATCTGCCTTCCTTCCACAAATACATCTGTGGGTGACAGGAGTGACCACCTCATAGTCCTTATAAAGACAGTTCTGTATTCACATTCAGGATACCCACCATTGTGTCATGTGGCACTATCACTGTGCTAAATGGGATAAATTTCAAGCAGATGTAACAATTCAAGATCGGGCATCCATGAGGCATTGTATTCCATTAATAACAGCAGAATTGTACTCCAACACAATCTGTAAACTCGTGGCCTAGCAAACCCCACTCCTCCCCTATTTTACTATTCCCGTAAAGCCAGGGGATCAATCCTGATTCAATAAAGAGTGCAGGAGGGCATGCATGAAGCTCTACCATGTATAACTAAAAATGAGGTGTCAACCTAGTGAAGCTACGATACAGGATTGCTTGTGTGCCAACCAGTAAGTGATAGAGCTAAGTGGTTCTATAATCGACAGATCAGATCCAAGTTTTGTAATCTTGTCACATCCAGTGATGAATGGTTTTTGTTATCCATTCATGACATGTGGACATCACTGGCTGGGCCAGCGTTTATTGTCCATCCCTTGTTGCCTTTGAGAAGGTGGTGGTGAGTTGCTTTCTTGAACTGCAGTGGCCCATTTATTGTAAGGAAACCCACTGATGCACAGTAGCAGCCGTGTGTACCATTTACAAAATGCTCTGCAAAATTCCATCAAAGCTTCTTAGCCAGTACCTTTCAAACCCATAACCACTACCATTTAAAAGGACAAGGGCAGCAAATTCATGGCAGCAACACCACCTGCAAGTTCCCTCCAAGCCAGTCACCATCCTGACTTGGAAATATATCACCATTCCTTCAGTGTCACTGGGTCAAAATCCTGGAACTTTTTCATCCTTCCCGAAACCCTGCCCCCGCCGACGCCAACAGTCTTTGTGGATCTATCTATACTAAATGGACTGAAGCGGTTCAAGAAGGTAGCTCATCATCAAGTGCAGCTTAGGATAGCTCATAAATGCTGGCCCAGCCAGTGATACCCACATCCCACTAAGTAAAAAAAATGCTCTCTTCAGTTCTCACAACCTGGAGATTTTTACTAATGACAAAATTAAAGTCTGGAGATTTGTACAAACTAACTTACTCATCTGCTGTTATGAAATGGTGCTTCTGAACTGAAACCTGACTTTCAACTCCATCTACTAATGTACCCTCACCATTTCTTTCTGCCTAGGTCATTAAATTCAATATTGTTAACAGTTTGCAATTTACTTCCCAGGTATCTGACTGAGATGGTGAACTTCTTTTTTTATTAAATTTTACTTTTGTAAATCACCAGGATAACCAAACTGCAAAAATAAAACTTTATAATCTGTCAAGGCAGGTTTCAGTGTGTGATTTGACTTGTCTGGTGTTGTCATCAGTTGGGCTCACAAAATAACCCAAAATAAATTAGCCTTTCTCTTGTACTTCAGGTTGCTTCCTGCTTGTTATTGTTGGCATGCTTTTGTTTTCCGCCTTGCAGTCTCTCTTAACTTCCAAGGATAATATGTTTTATAAAAAAAAATAGGAAGAACTGTGGATGCCAGAAATGTAAAACAAAAAAGAAACTACTGGAAAATCTCTGCAGATCTAGCAGCATCCGTGGATACAGATCTGTGGAGAGTGTGTTTTTACATCCACGTGTGCTAGTAAATCTTGCGCATTTCAAACGTATTTTAAAAATTAACTTATGAACTAAATATCTGTGTGGAAACTAATAACTAGCTTTTCAGTGGTGCAACCTTGACTTTTAAAATTGACCTGATCTTTATAATTGCTCTTGGCCTTATCACTGGTTTTATAACTCATTGTGAAATTATGTTGTAAGTAGCTGCATTGTAGGAGAACTTAGAAAATGAAATGCTTTTAAATTCTGCCTCATGTACTTATGTTTCAGGAAAAGGAGGGTTCATGGTACGATGACGTCTTCCCGACAGGTTATGTTGGATGATGGAAAGACTGCAGTTAGCATAAGACATGCTTTTATTCCATTTTCAGGTAATTTGTATTTTTAAATAAATAATCAAATTTTAATTGTTTTGAGGGCAGAAATGCATGAGATGCAGTTGCAGGCCTTTTCAATCACTGGAGGGGGAAGTTGTGGTGCTTGAAATAGGAGGACATCTGGGATGTCTGGGAGTGGAACGCCCCATCTTGAGAGCACTGACATCTGTTTCAAGCCCACTGATTCCCACAGCTACCTTGACTACACCTCCTCTCACCACCCTCCTGCAAGAATGCAATCCCTTACTCCCAATTCCTCCGCTATCGCTGCATCTGCACCAAAGATGGAGCATTAGACTCCTGGACGTCCCGGATGGATCAAAAATGCATCTCTTGCATTTCCCATACTTCTGCCCTCAAAATCCCTCCCCCCAACAAAAACAAGTACAGAGTCCCCCTGTCCTCACGTACCACCTCACCAACCTCTGCATCCAACGTATCATACTCCACCACTTCCACCACCTGCAACCTGACCCACCACCAATGAGATATTTCCCTCCCACCCCTATCTGCCTTTCATCGGGATCGCTCTCTCCGCGACTCCCTCATCTGCTCCACACTCTCCACTAACCCCACCACACCTGGCACCTTTCCCTGCAACCGCAGGAGGTGCTACACCTGCTCATACATCTCCCCTCTTACCTTCATCCAAGGCCCAAAACAAACCTTTCATATCTGACAGGGGTTCACTTGTACGTTCTCCTATCTGGTCTACTGTGTCCGTTGCTCCCGATGTGGCCTTCTCTACTTCAGTGAGACCAAGCGCAAATTTAGGGACCAATTCGTGGAGCATCTGTGCTCTGTGTGCTATAATCAATAACACTTTCCGGTCACCAACCATTTTAACTCCCCCTCCCACTGCCTTGATGACATGTCCATCCTAGGCCTCCCCCAGTGCCACAATGATGCCACATGCAAACTGGAGGAGCCACACCTCATATTTCGCCTTGGGAGCCTACAGCCTGATGACCTAAACGTGGAATTCACCAGTTTTAAAATCTACCCATCCCCGGCCTGATCCCATGTCTGACCCTTCCTCTGATCCCCGCCTCCTTGACCTGACTCAACCTGTGCATCTTCTCTCTCACCTACCCACCCCACCCTTCATAATGACCAATCCCTACTACCCTTACCTCATCCACCTATCACCATCCTACCTCACCACCCTCAGCCCCACCCCTCCTTCTCGCCTCCTTGACCTGACGCAACCTATCCATCTTCCTCCCCACCTATCCATCCCACAGATCAATCCCCACTACCCCATACCTACATCCACCTATCACCATCCCACCTACTTTCCCCCAGCCCCACCCCTCCTCCTTGTATTTATTTCCCAGCTCCCTTCCTCCTCTCCAGTTCTGATGAAGGGCCTGACCCAAAACAACAAATTTCCTGCTCTTTTGATGCTGCCTGACCTGCTGTGTTCCTCCAGCTCCACATTTTTCTCAAACCATCCTGGCTGGCTCTAATAGCTGTGCTCTTTTTAGATGAATTATTTATGAATTATTGCAAGCTGTGCTTAATTTAATTTTCACTTTAAAGGTGGCCTCATTCTGGCAGCAGATTATTCCCAGTTGGAGCTACGAATTCTGGCTCATCTTTCCAAGGATAAGAGCCTTATTCAAGTTCTAAATAGTGGAGAAGATGTGTTCAAGAGCATTGCTGCAGAATGGAAAATGGTAGATCCAGCAGTGGTCAATGATAAACTGAGACAACAGGCCAAGCAGGTCAGTTGGAGTTCTAAGTAGCTGGGTGTGTTAGCTGACAATGTGAAACCTCCATCTGGAAAAGAAAAAAGTGCAAATCATCGTCTATTAACTGTCAAATAGAGTGAGTTTCAATAATGCCATGTTCTTGTGAACATTCTGTGCAGAACTGGCAATGTAAGCATTTACAGAAAAAGTTGCTTTAAAAGGTGTGTTCCCTTTGGCTCTATAATCATACCAAGATAATCTTGTTCCTTAAAACCAAACAAATATAAGTTAGTAATACTTTAACTTCTCAAAATCCAACATGCTGTACTATCAAACATCAAAGATCTATATTCTTGGTATTGAAGTTGACACTTTTTGCATAAACCACAAGCCCCTGTCACATACCCTTTATTTAAAGGCAATTAATTCATTGTTTAATGAAGTAGCAAGCCAGAATAGCAACATGAGTTTGTATAGTCGCAAAATTAAATTTTATTAAAAAACTCTTATTATGGCACACACAACCAATGATGTTCGTATGTTGATTTCAGACCTTCACCAATCTTTTTCTCTTCATACCTGTCACCTCACTTCCTGAGGACCCCTCACAGTTCTGAGGAAGGGTCACCGGACCTGAAACGTTAACTCGTTTTTCCTTCACAGATGCTGCCAGACCTGCTGAGCTTTTCCAGCAATTTCAGTTTTGTTACCTCACCCCCTGAGTTTTTCCAGGTTTTTTTGTTTTTATTTAAGATTTGTAGTATTCATATCCTGCTTTTGTAACAAACACAGGTTTTTTTAAGAAATCACATGACTAGAATGTGACAAATGTGACACCTTTGGTGTGCAACACACGTATTATTTCAGCAGTATTATGTTTGGTCAGCAAGTAGCTCCTGTCGATTGGTGAAGGTCTGAAATCAACTTGCGATAATCTCTGTCTCAATATTTTTAAGTATTTTCTAATCAGCCTGCTCAGAGATGTTATGATACACTTCTGGACTTGGGCAGGACTTGATCCAAGGCCTCCTGGCTCAGAGGTAGGGACAATACCACTGTACCACTGTCCCCATTTCTAAGGCCTTCACTGGGAGTGATTGTAATGGTGAATAGCTGGTGCTTGTTGATTTAGTGCTTGTTAAAATGGTAACATAAGGTCCTTGTGGTGTAGTGATAGCACCCCTACCCCTGGCCTGGGAGGCTTGGGTTCAAGTCCCACCTGCTCCAGAGGCATGTAATACCATCTCTGAACAGGTTGATAAGAAAAATAGGTTAACTAAAAGAAATAGTAACATAGTGACCTTGTGGTGCAGTGGTAGGTTCTGACCTCTAAGCGAGGAGGCCTGGGTTTAAGATCTACCTACTCCAGAGGTGTGTAGTAACATCTCTGAACAGGTTGTTCAGAAAAAATATTTAAACTAGTAACATATCAGTCTCTGGTGTAATTCGTCAGCACATCTGTGTGTTGACCAAAATGTTGGTGGCATCAGACCATCTAGGGCTGTTATGACACAGTGGTAGTTTGCTGCCCTGAGCCAGAAGGCATAGGTTCAAATCCTGTCTGTCCAGAGGTGTGTAATAAAATCACTGAACTGGTTGATTAGAAAATTAAAAATAGAAAGAGCTGGCTTCCTCCTGGGTTTAAGTCTCATCTGCCCAAGATATGTTATTACATGTCTGAACAGACTGATTGATTTAAACAAAAAGGCTGGGTTCCTAAGGATACTTGTGGCGCATTGGTAGTGTTCAGGCTTTTGAACCAGGAGGCCTGGGTTCAAGCACTGCCTGCTCTAGGTGTGTGTCATAACATCTTTGATCTGTAAAATATTAAATAGTAACAGTGAAAGAGTTTTCAGTGTACTAGGATAAGGGTTGTCTTTGGTAGAGATAGAAGATTGCCAGGGAATGGTAAACAAGGAATTTTATAGGATACTGGATGAGATAAATGTTGATGAAGTGGAGTTACTGGAAAGACTGGCATGCTCAAAGTGGGCAAGTTCAATAGAGTACATCCTACGTTGCTGAGGGAATGAGAGGGTTGAAATTACAAAGGTGCAGGCTAGAATCTTCTAGTTCTTCTGAGATATGGGGTTCTGGAGGATTGTAGCTGTCACATCCATGCTCAAAAGAGGAGTGAAACATAAACCTGGCAATTCTAGCCCAGTCACTTTAATGTTAGGTGTGGTTGTGGGAGCGAAGCTTTTAGAAACAATAAATTGGAAAAAAATTCATATCCACTTTGAATAGTGTAGACTAGAAAAGGCGAGCTGGCATGGATTTGTTAAGGGTAATTGATCTTTGACTAGCTTGATTGAGATTAAAGTTTCATGTCTGAATTTTGAAAAGATGTTTGTACCACATATTAGACTTGTTGGTAAATTGAAGCCCGCTGGATTAATGGAGCTGTGGCAGTGTGCGTACAAATTTAACCAGTGGATGACAGGTTTTTGGACTGCTTGTAGTGGAGTTAACAAGGTTTACTACTAGGGTCAGTTTTTTTAAATATATACATAATACTGCTTTGAACTCAGGCATACAGAGTGTAATTTTGAAATCTGCAAGTGATACAAACTTGGAAGTGTAGAAAACACAGAGCAGTGATAACAGAGGACAGAGATATTAAATGAATATTTTGTGTCAGTTTTTACTGTGGAGAAAGAAATGGAGGCTAGAGAGCTCTGGCAAATAAATAGTGATGTTTGAAAACAGTTCACATTACAGAAAATATAAAGGTGGATAAATCTCCGGGATTTGATCTAGTATATTCCAGGATGTTGCGGGAAGTTAGGGAGGAAATTTTGGGGCCCCATGTAGAAATATTTGTATTATCTGTAACTGTGGGTAAGGTGCAAGATACTGGAGAGTAGGTAATGTTATGCCTTTGTTTAAGAAAGCATGCAAAGATAAGACTGGGAACTATAGACCTGTGAGTCTGACTTCAGTGGTGGGTAAGTTGTTGGAGGTGATTCTGAAAGATAGGATTTACATGCATTTGGAGAGGCAAGGACTGATTAGGGATAGTCAGCACAGTTTTATGTGAGGGAAATCGTATCTCACAAACTTGATTGAGTTTTTTCAGGAAGCAACCAAGAAGTTCGATGAGGTCTAAGCGGTAGACATTGTTTACTTGGACTTCAGTAAAGCTTTCTCCAAGGTTCTGCACGGTACACTAATTAGTAAAGTTAGATGACATGAGATTCAGGGTGAGCTTGCCAACTGGATATAAAACTGCCTAATTGCAGGCAACAGAGTGATGGTGGAGGGTTGTTTTTTGGACTGGAGGCCTGTGACCAGCAGTGTTCCACAGGGATCGGTATTGGGTCCACTTTTGTTTGTTATTTATATAAATGATTTAGATGAGAATATAGAAGGCATGGTTAGTAAGTTTGCAGATGATGCTAAAATTGGTGGTATAGTGGACAGTGAAGATAGTTATCTAAAGTTACAAAGAGATCTTGATCAGTTGGGTCAATGGGCTGAGGAGTGGCAGATGGAGTTTAATTTGGATAAATGTGAGATATTGCATTTTGGTAAAACAAACAAGGGCAGGACGTATACAATAAAAGTAGGCTCTTGGATAGTGTTGTGGAACAGAGACACCCAAGGGTTCAGGTACATAATTCTTTGAAGTTTGCTTCGCATGTAGACAGGGTGGTTACGAAGGTATTTAGTATGCTTGCCTTCATTGTTCATTCCTTTGAGTATAGGAGTTGGGATGTTATGTTGAGATTATACAGGACTTTGGTGAGGCCTCTTCTGGAGTACTATGTCCAGTTCTGGTTGCCCAATTATAGGAAGGATGCTATTAAGCTGGAGCGGGTTAAGAAAAGATTTACCAGAATGTTACTAGGAATGGAGGTTTGGAGTTATAAGGAGAGGCTGGATAGGCTGGGACATTTTTCCCCAGGAGCTTAGGAGGTTGAGGATTCATCTTTGTAGAGGTTTATAAAATCATGACAGATGTGGATAAAGTGAATGGCTGATGTCTTTTTCCTAGGGTGGGAAAGTTCAAGAGTAGAGGTCATATTTTTGAGGTGGGAGGAGAAAGACTTAAAAAAGACATGAGGGGCAATTGTTTTACACAGAATGGTTCATGTATGGAATGGACTTCCAGAGGAAGTCGAGGATGCGGGTACAGTTACAACATTTAAAACACATTTGGATAAGTTCATGAATAAGAAATGTTTGGAGGGATATGGGTAAAGTGCAGGCAGATGGGACTAGTTTAATTTGGGCTTATGGTCGGCACGCACTGGTTGGGCCGAAGAGTCTGTTATCGTGCTGTATGACTGTGAATGTATCAGGTGGAATGGGTGGGCACATGTCACTGAAATTCAATACAAAACAAGTACAAGCTACTGCAATTTGTGAGGAATAATGAGGAAAGACCATGCAAGTTTAAATGCAGTTTTAATGGGTGCACAAGAAAAGAGAGTGTACACAAATCTTTCAACGTAGCATGATGGGTTAACAAAGCATTTGGGAGCCATGGCTTTATAAACAGAGGCATAGTGAACCAAATAAAGGAAGTTATGCTGAATTCTATATAAAATAAGAGCTCCTCCTGTGGCTGGAAGTATTTTAACCAATTCTGGGCACTGCATTTTAGGGAAAATTTGAAGGTTTTGGAGAGAGTACAGGAAAGATTTATTAGAATGATTCCAGAGATGCGGGAATACAGTTACATGGAAAAGCTGGAGAAGTTGGAATTGTTCTTCTTACAGTGGAGAGAGGCCAAAGGAATTCGACAGAGGTGTTTAAAATTATTTAAACACAGCAAATAAAGAGAAACTATTGTCAATGGTTTAATTGTGATAACCAGAGGGCTAGGAGAAAGAACCAGATGTTATCACAAAAAGCTGATTTCACATGAGGACTGGTTAGAATTTGGAAGGCACTGCCTGATGAAATTCAATAATAGATTTCTCAGAGGAATTAGATAAACTAAATTGGTACAAAAATTACAGGAATGTTGAGAAAGGGTGGGACTAAATAGCTTATTCTTTGAAAAGGCCAGTGCAGACTTGATGCATTGAAAAGGTTTTTTCTGTTACAATTCCATGATTCATTATTTCTTTGAAGCAGATTATTAGGATGTAGACTACTTACAATCAAGAAACTGCTCTAGTTTAGTACATGCATTTGGTAAGTTGTGATCAGAGCAAACTCAATGCTTCTTTGTGTCCCCTCCTCTGGTGATGTACTGCTGTTCCCTCAACTCTAATCTGCAGGTCTCCTTTCTTCTTCAGATCTGTTATGGGATCATTTATGGAATTGGAGCCAAGTCTCTTGGTGAGCAAATGGGCCTGGATGAGAATGATGCAGGTTGTTACCTAGAAACATTCAAATCTCGATATACAGGTAAGGAAGTCTTCATTAACTGTTTCAATGATGGTTGGATTTAAGAGAAATATCAAATAAACTGCTTTAGTTTTTTTCTGGTTAGTTGATAAGAGATAGCACAATGAGGAAGGAGAGAAAAATAATATCATTTGTGATTTTTGCAGCTTTCTTTGAGAGATAAAGCAGAGGCATCCAAAAGATCAAATCAAAATACTCTGCAAGTGATGCGTCAGAGTCAGTGGCTTTGAAAGAAAATTACCAAAATAAATTGAAACTCTTCTTCAGCTGGGGCATAACTGTGGACAAAAGCTTTAACTACACCGTATAGAGATTCCTTTTTTGAAATATTTTTGAAACTAGTTTTAAAACATCAATAATTTTCCACAGGAATTCGGACATTTCTGCATGAAACAGTAAAAAGTTGTCAGGAAAATGGATTTGTGCAAACAATTCTTGGCCGGAAACGGTATCTTCCAGCAGTAAAGGATCCCAATCCTCATGTTAAAGCTCACGTATGTATTACAGTTTATACACTAGCTCAAATCCGTCCATAGGTGACTAGTTTTTAATAAACATACTCCAGTTATGGGAACTTCTGATGCTATGCAGAACACCAGACCAAAACATTCCATTCTTGTTTGAAGATGTAGATCGCAGTGTATTTAGCAAGTTGTGTGTTTTAATGTGTTACGCAAAATGCTTCCTATTCTGTTTTGCTGAGGCTATGGTATGGATGTTTATGGTAATTTAGGTTACTTCATAAGTATGAAATAAAAACAATATGGAAAGTATTCTAAGAGTACCAAGAATGACTAACCTCAGATAACCAGGAGATGCACAGCTTGGATTAGGGTTGCCATTGAAAAGACATCTAGTAAAATCCGACCAAAATGAAGTGTTGTTCAGAACTAAATCTTCCTGTTATTGCAAGTGTTTAACTTTCCACTTCTAATGTGGATGATGTAGTTATATCGTTTTCAGCTACTGTGCCTGTTACTCAATCGTGTTCCACACATGTACCACTTGTTGTATAGAAACTCTTTATCATAATGGTTAGGCCAGTAGAGGTGGGTGTCAAATGTTGTACACTGTCTCCTTCAATCCCAATTCCCTTTGATTAAAACACATTCTGATGAAGCTATCCATGAGAAATGAAAATTGGTTTTCAATCAATGATACATTTTGATACTTCTAAACCAGTACTGCATCTACTGGTCACAGTCTGCTTGGTTTCTCCGGCCAAATATGGGGGTACATTTGGCTTTAATGTTTAATGACTGGATGAATATTTATAAAATATTATTCTTTGTTGCACATATGCTGTATGTTTGGTGTTGCCTGAAGTCTAAATTTTGAGTCAGGATCCAACCTGAATCTGACATACAGTGGAGAAAGGCTTCCTGGTTGAGTGAGTTTTGCTTTGATTGGGATTAATAATATGTAGCATTTGAATTTAGTGCAGTGTCAAATTGGTTTAAAAAGTGCTGAGACGTTATGTTAATTTCTAGGAGTGCTTTTATTTCTCATTTAAGAGAAAGCCATGGATAATTTTCTGAGAATTACTAGTCTCTCTCCCCCAGCGAGCAATGGAGATTTGGCCTACTCGTGCTCCTAATTCACATAACCCTACTTAATCTATCCTGTGGGATGCAGTGAAAGATGGTTGGAGTCTTAAGGGTGGCTCAGTGGTTAGCACTACTGCCTCACAGCACCAGAGACCTGGGTTCAATTCCACTCTCTGGCATCTGTGTGAAGTTTGCATAATCTGCCCGTGTCTGTGGGGTTTCCTCCGGGTGCTCCGGTTTCCCCCCACTTTCTAAAGCTGTATGGCTTGGGTGGACTGGCTATGCTAAAATATCCATTGTGTCCAGGGAAGTGCAGGCTAGGTGGGTTAGCCATCGGAAATGCAAGGTTACATGGATTGGATGGGGAGGGTGGGACTGGGTGTGATGCTATTGGGAGAGTTGGTGTGGACCTAATGGGCTGTATGGCCTGTTTCCAGAGTGTAGGGATTCTATGATTAAATAGATATAAGCTTTCTCCATGGCCATGGTGAATGTCTTTGATTTTCAAAGATGATATTGGATGTAATTGGTCCATGGAGCCTGTGCTGTTAATTATAAGTTTAAATGCGATAGCTGTAGCTGTTTTCACAGCTGAGTTTAAACGAGGCTTTAGCTCCATAAACGTAATTATCACCACTACATTGTCTAGCTCATTGCGCAGGTATTCCTGATTCCAATCAAAATGTATTTGCTGTGCGAAAAATCCAGTGTAGCGTATAGATTAAAAGGTGGAAGACAACTTTTGCGAAGGTGCATTAGTTATTACAGACATTTTGGGAATGCTGTCTGAAATCAGCACTGTGATTTCTATAAGCTGGAATTTACTTTGGTAGTATTTTCAGAACTTCAAAAGGCTAGTTGCAAGTATGTGGTGAGATGACATATTTAGTATTAAAACTAACTTTTTCAAATTTAAAACAAAGCCATATTTGGCAAGCAATGCCAAGCAGTCGTAACTACCTGCTGAAATGGCTTAGCAAGCCAGTCCATTATAGCAGTCACTAGAAAGTCACAAAAAGGAATGAAATTGGACGACTATCTGGTATAAACCTAGGCACCGGAAACAACAACCTTGCTGACCCTGCAAAGCCTTCCTTACTCATTGTGTGTTTACCTGCAGCACATGGTCTGCAGCTTCAAGAGGGCAGCTCACCACCACCTTCTCAAGGGCAACTGGAGATGGACAGTAAATGCTAGCCCAGCCAGCGATGCCCGTATCCCATAAATGAATAAAAAAAATTGTACAGACAATACTTAGAATCTTATTCTGATTGTCAAAAATTAACAGGGCACCAGCTGGTTGAAACCCAAACTGGAAAGTATCTTTTCATGTTTAGCTTTTGTACACAAATCCAGATGGCCTTTCAATTAGAACCCTGCTCCATGCTGCCAGTTAGCTTGTAGGCTAGGTACTGACGCCTGTTTACAAATCCTCATTCTGGTCATTCTATCACAACAGGCTCAACGTCAAGCAGTGAACACCACAGTTCAAGGATCAGCGGCTGATCTGGTAAAAATAGCAACTGTTAATGTTCAGAAACGATTGGAGGAAGCCTTTCCATCTGTTGCTAAATCACATGGTCACTGGAAAAGCAAGTTTCAGGAAGACAAAAAAATGGGTTAGAACTAAGCTTTATCTCTTTTTGTTTGTCTCCTTCCCTCTTCTGTTCATAGGTCATTTGCAACTCCTTTTAACTTTTCTATTATTACAGTTCCGTTGTCCAGTGTTACTGGATTGTAGATGATATACTTGGTGGATCCTGATGACTATGTTCAGAATAGTTTATCTTGATGTGATAAACCCTATTCCCAGAAGATGCTGCAGCAAAACAGCCAACAGCATTTCTTACCGTCATAGCGTCAATTTCAATCAAACGTGATAATGCAATTCTGGGGTAGCAAATATGTGTCTTTCAAATTTTTACTGCACACCTTTTTGCTGCCCCACTGCCTATGATGTTTTCTGTGTTGCTAAGTATTGCTTAACTTTGGATGGTAGGACCTTAATTAACTAAACTACGAAATTCCTACTTTAAATGTGAATCACAAATTACACCTGATTTAATTAAAAGCAATTTCACGAATTGTATTTCAGAATTATGAAAAGTATTTTAAAATTTTTTTTTATTATAAAATCTATTCATTTAATATGCACATAAATGTATAATTTCTGAAGAAAGGTCCAGACTTGAAACATCAGCTTTCCTGTTCCTCTGATGCTGCCTGGCCTGCTGTGTTTCTCCAGCTTCACACTGTGTTATCTCTGACTCCAGCATCTGCAGTTCTTGCTATCTCCTATATATTACTGCCTCCATTCACTTCTCTCTAGTCTTCCACATGAAGAACATGACTCTGGCCACACTCCCTCCTAAACAGTCACCTGCAATTCTTAATTCTTCTTAATGCAGCAGTTATACTTTTTTTAATTCAAAGAATAAATAGTGTTTCTAGGACCCTAAGGCAACCATAAAAATCGGCAAATATTTGGATTATTTGATGTTGCAAAGTTTAATGGAATCTTTAACTCAAAATATTTTTTAGTTTTTGGAAAATCTACTGCACTGGTGAGTATTTAAATTGCTATACATTGGTTGGTAGGCAGCGTGACCTTGAGCTCAGGATTTGTTAGGTAGAGCTATGGGATAATAGTTATGTATGAGTCAGTCTCACTCACGATCTCCTTGTGTGTAAGAGAAGGAATTGGTGGAGACTGATCTCGGGGAAGGGACAGTCGAATTTCTAAGTCAAGTTGCTATTTAAAAGGAAGAGGCGTTCAGCGTCTTAAAAAGTATTAAGGTAGATAAGTCCCCAAGTCCTGATGGGATCGATCCCAGAATATTGTGGGAGGCAAAGGAACAAATTGCTGGAGCATTGACAGACATCTTTGCACTCTCTTTAGCCAAAGGTGAGGTCCCAGAGCACTGGAGAGTAGCCAAAGTAGTCCCATTGTTTAAGAAGGGTAGCAGGGACAATCCAGGAAATTACAGGCCTGTAAGCCTCACGTCAGTGGCTATTGGAAAAAAATTCTCAGGGACAGGTCTATACACATTTAGACGCAAATGGACTTATTAGTGACAGACAGCATGGTTTTGTGCGGGGGGAGGTTGTGTCTTACTAACTTAATTATTGAGATTTTTGAGGAGGTGATGAAGATGATTGATGAGGGAAAAGCGGTTGATGTTGTCTACATGGACTTCAGTAAAGCCTTTGACAAGGTCCATGGCAGACTGATCCAAAAGGTGAAGTCCCCTGGTATCAGTGGTGGGCTAGTAAGATGGATACAAAACTGGCTTAGTCATTGGAGACAGAGGGTAGTGGTGGAAGGATGCTTTTCGGAATGGAGGGTTGTGACTGGTGGTGTTCCACAGGGATCAGTGCTGGGACCTCTGCTGTTCATGATCTATGTAAATGATTTGAAGGAAAACGTAGCTGGTCTAATTAGTAAGTTTGCGGACGATACAAAGATTGGTGGAGTTGCGGTTAGTGAGGGGGATTGTCAGAGGATACAGCAGGATATAGATCAGTTGGAAGCATGGGCAGAAAAATGGCAGATGGAGTTTAATCCAGATAAATGTGAGGTGATGCATTTTGGAAGGTCAACTACAGGTGGCAATTATACAGTGAATGGCAGAACCCTTAGGAGTATTGATATGCAGAGGGATCTGGGTGTGCAGGTCCGCAGATCACTGAAGGTGACAGTGCAGGTAGGAAAAGTAGTAAAAAAAATACTATGGCATGCTTGCCTTCATTGGAAGGGCATTGAAAATAAAGATAAGCAAGTTATGCTGCAGCTTTATAGAACTTTAGTTAGGTCACACTTGGAATATTGCATACAGTTCTGGTCACCACGCTGTCAGAAGGATGTGGATGCTTTGAAAAAGGTACAGAGAAGGTTTACTAGGATGTTGCCTGATATGGGGGATTTTAGCTATGAAGAAAGTTTGGATAAACTGGGTTTGTTTTCATTAGAATGCAGGAGGCTGAGGGGTGACCTGATAGAAATGTAGAAGATTGTGAAAGGCATGGACAGAGTGGAAAGTATGAGGCTTTTTCCCCAGGGTGGAGGGGTCAATTACAAGGGGACACAGGTTTGAGGTGCAGTGGGAGCGGGGGGGGAGGAGGAGGAGATGCGCAGCGAGGACCGTTTAAAAGAGATGTGCGAAGCAAGTTTTTACATAAGGGGTGGTGGTGGAAGCAGACACAATAGCAGCATTCAAGAAGCACCTGGACGAATACATGAATAGGAAGGAAATAGAGGGATATGGAACCTGTAAGTGAAGACAGTTTTAGTATGGAAAGGCAAAATGTGTCGGCGCAGGCTTGGAGGTCCAAAGGGCCTGTTCTTTGTTCCCTTTGTATATAAATCCACTTGCTTACAGCAATGTCACTGATGGAAGGAATGCCTTAGCATTGAACAAAATGACTGTAGTTGTCACCTTGTTCTTTAGCATTAGAATAAATGATCAGAAATAAAAGGTTTTGCCAGGTATGCTGTCCCTTAAAATTCAGATTGAAGTTAGAGTCTAACACATCTTCAAATATTACATACATTTAATTACACATCAAACTCTTGATAAGGCTCAGATCTCTGATAATGTTGTATTGGGATTGTAATCAACTTGAATGAAATGGTTGGTGGATTTGCAATTTGAGATTAACTGTTATTTGTCTCCAAATGCAGATATGAATCAAAGGAAAAAATGGCAGGAAATATACCAACCAAACCGTGGAGGTTTTTTCATTTTACAGCTTCATGACGAACTGCTTTATGAAGTAGCAGAGAATGACATGATACAGGTAGGGAAAGTGATTTGATTTGATTTATTGTAGTCACATGTATCTAGATACAGTGAAAAGTTTTGTTTTGTGAGCAGTACAGGCAGATCATATCAAACAAGGACATGTAGATCATAGGGTGCTTGGGCAGAGCGAGGCATACAAGGTTACAGCTGAGGTTTAAAAGTGTGGAATGGTTATAAGAAATGTGAGAATAAATTCTGCTGTAGAGAGCTCACAAATAGTCGCCTGGTCTCGGTGCCATCTTGAATTAAGTGAAGAATTTGTTAATTTAATTTGTATGATCATTTTTCAGTCTCTTTATACATAAATAAAAACAAGAAAATGGAATACTGACTTGTGCAATGGTTACAAAAGAAAGGATGAAATGATGAATCAATGTGACTCATTAATGAGATTGGTTGGCATACTGTAATATCGGGTTATGGAGTAAAATAACAGAAAACTCTGGTGAAGAGCTAGACCCAGCATACGTGTGCATGATCTCCTACACAGAATGCTTTGCTGTTTTAAATTATTTTTAATTATCCGGTTGGACATGTTATGACACACTGTCCTGGCATGACAGGACCAATAAGAGAGGAGTGAGGGCAAACCTCTTCATATACATTTGGGATTTCATCTGAGCACAAGGAAGGCAGCAGTTGCAATGGGAGCATGACTCCGATTGTAGGTTAGCAGGGAAAGAGGAGCAGCATTCTCTGCAGGAAAAACACAGCCTGTTTTCCTGTTGGAAATCCTTGAGGTATCTGAAGATAGGATGTCAACCTGAGGAACTCGTGTGGTGATACCCTGTGGCTGAGATGATTGACTTCCAACAACCACAGTCATCTTTATTTGTGCTAGGTATCACTCCAACCAACCCAGAGTCCTGTTTCCCCACCCATTGTGTGCTAGGGTTCCTTGATGCCACACTTGATCAAATGCAGCCTTGATATTAGTCACTGTCATCTCACCTCCTGAGTTCAAGTCTTTTATCCTTGTTTGGACAAAGCTGTAATGAGGTCAGGGACCCAAATCTGTGAGTCAGTGAGTAGTTTACAGATGGACATATGAATTAGGAGTGGGCATAAGCCACTCAGTCCCTCACATCTGCTTGATCATTCAATAAGATCGTGGCTAGTCTGATTACTCCACATGCCTGCCTAACTCCAAAAAAATTTCACCCCCTTACTTATCAGGACCCTATCTTCCACTGCTGTGAAATATTCAAAGATTCTCTTCTTCACAATGGTGATTGAAGCAGAGTTCTAAGCTCTCACTGCCCTTTGTGAGAAAAACATTTACTTTGTCTCTGTCTTAAATAAGTGACCCATAGTTCTACATCCTCATAGATGAGGAAACATCCTTCTCACATGCACCCTGTCAAGATGCCTTCAGATCTTTTATGTTTTAATTCAGTTGCCTCATTCGTTTCTAAAGCCCAGTGGTTATAACCCTGGCCTATCAAACCTCTCCCGATTAGACAACCCACCCATTCCAGACGTTAGTTCAGAAAAGCTTCAGTCGACTGCTTCCAACTCCTTTACATCCTTCCTTGTATACAATATTGGTATTCTTATTTAACTCCCGAAGTGTTCTCACCAATGCCCTGTATAAATGAAACCAAACCTATTCAATTCCCCTTTCAATAAACAATAATATCCTATTACCTATTAGCTTTCTTAATTACTGGCTGTATCTACAATTTTTCCAATTCATGCACCAAAACACCCAGATCCCTTGTTGTTGTTATTACTATTGTGGAGCAGTTGCTGCCTTATTCTACTGTTGATGAAAACTCATTACTTGGCTGATAATTGAAAGTAGACTGAGATGGTAATTGGCTGGATTAGATTAGTTCTGTTTTTGTAGGCAAGACATATCAGAGTAAGTTTACACATTGCCAAGTAGATGCCAGTGTTGTAACTGTATTGGAACAGCTTGGCTAGGAGCACAGCTAGTTCTGAAGCACAACTCTTCAGTGCTATTCCTGCAGCGTTGTCAGGGTCCATGGCTTCTGCAGTATCTAGTGCCTTCAGTAATTTCTTGATATCACGTGGAGTGAATCACATTGGCTGAAGATTGGCATCTGTGATGCTAGGGACTTCCAGAGGAAGCTGAAATGGATCATTGACTTGGCATGTCTGGCTGCTTGTCTGTTGAACTGATATCCTGGGCTCCCCATTGTTAACGATGGAGATATTTGTAGAGCCTTTTCCTCCAGCAAGTTGTTTAATGTTCTGCTTTATTCAATTCATTTGTTAGGAACCACAGCCTATGTTGAATTTAAATAAGTAAGTTTTATTTCTCTTTATGTGTACAAATCAATTATTGGAGCTTTTTTTCCCGCCACACCTAAAACAGGGGCCCTGAGAGCATCTAGATGATCTGTACTGTTTTGGCAACTGTTCTTGGATTAGCCAATGTACATTAGAAACAATGAAGATAGCGTCCTATTCTAGTGAGATCATTTATTTTGTCATTTAGATGCCATCAGAACAGCAGTTTAGGCTGGATCAATCTTAATTCACTTACAATCTTAAATTTCACCACCTATGCTGCAGAATACTCCAATAAATTATGCCCTTGTTGCTTTTTTGTTTAAAGGTTTGTTTGTTAGTGTAGAGAATACAGCCCTTTAAACAGTCAAGTAAGATTATCAGAGTTTCTGTTCACTTTCTCATTTTCTGCCACTCCTCAGATTGCTCAGATTCTGAAAAGTGAAATGGAAAATGCCATGAAGCTGCTGGTGAAACTTTGTGTCAAAGTAAAGATTGGTCCTAGTTGGGGGAACCTTCAAGATTTGGACCTGTAGTGAAGAATTTGCCAGATTTGAAAATTTGGACTACTTCCTTGAGTATTTATTTTGTAGTTGGATACATGGCTCATAACTGGTGCTATTTAATATTCAGCATAAAAAATGAAAGAGTTATTTATAAGTTTACTTCAAATGTGAACATCTTGTTCAATAAATCAAAGCTGAAACATTCAGCTCTCAGTCAATTGCTGATATTTGAGTTGAAACATAATATTAATCAAGTTAACCTAAATATTTTACCATTGGGATTTGGAGAATACTTTACAAAAACACATCTATTTATTTGTATAAAATTAAATGAATTTGAATGTAGTGTTCTTGGATGAATTCAGTGGAGACTGTTTAACAGGGATGTTCTAAAATAAAAACTATTTCTATGCCAGGAAATTCTCGAATGTCCCAGCTGTTGTCTCGGCTTCGTGTCATGTAATTAATGAAAAGTAACTTTTGAAGAGACAGACATTTTATATCTCCTACAGAATACACAGTGGTGTCTCATATCTATTTAAATACCAGTTTTTCACTTTTGGAACAATATATAGAATGAGAGCTTTGAATAAATGTGGTTTGTCTCAATTTCTTTGTGGGAGAGAAAATCTGATGCACAGAATATCATGCAAACACCACCATTGCTGCTTTATACTTGGAGTTATGCTTTTGGTTATAAAGTGAACTGATTAACTAGTTTTATCCTCTTTGAATTATTCTCACATTGTAACTTACTCCAACCATTGGTGTGATTAAGAATTGGTAAACTCATACCAAAGAACTGAGTGTTACTTTGGACAGGAGTATCAGACACCGTACCTCTGCACAGGTGAAGATATTCTAAATTGTTAGTATAGTTATTTATTGCCAGTCAATAAGTGATAGCAAGAAGCTCAGCTTATAGTGATCAGACTGTGTACAGGATGAAAATATTGTGCAATGTAAATTGATTTATTTAGATTTAAGTGGAAAACATTATTTATTGTACAGCTGAAGTGTCTGCACTCAGCCTCTTTGGCAGCATCTGTAATGAGAAAGTGTTAATGTTTCAGGGTGATGAAAGGTCATCAACCTGAAATGTTAACTATTTCGCTCTCCAAAGATATGGACAGACCTGAGTACTTTAAATTTTTTTTCATTTCAGATTTTCAGCCTTTGCATTATTGTAATTTTACATTGTTGAAATGATGTAGCTGTTAAAATATTATTCGTATGACTCAAGTCTGTTTATGGTGACACATTCCTTTGTATATATTTTATCTATTTTCAAATAAAATAATATCTTTAAGAATGGAAGATCAGTTTTGTAAACAAGAAATGTTGCTGCTGCAGTGTAAACTGAAAGAAAAGTATTTAAAAACAATTAAACTCTAATGACAAGTTGAAAATGTTTCTTCTAACAGCTGTAAATAGTATTAAACCAAACAAAATATTTGAGAATAATATTAGACAAGAATTTTTACTCCATGTTGGGAAATAAGATAGGACAAGTGACTGAGGAGTTAATAGGGAAACACTTTGGGGCCAATGATCATAATTCTATTCGTTTTAAAATAGCTACGGAAAAGGATAGACCTGATTTAAAAGTTAAAGTTCTAATTTGGATTAAGGCTAATTTTGATGGTATTAGGCAAGAACTTTCAAAACTTGATTGAGAGAGGCTATTTGCAGGTAAAGGGATGTTGAAAAGTTGAAGGCCTTCAAAAATGAAATTACGGGCACCCAGAGGTATTATGTTCCTATTAGTGTGAAGGGCAAGACTGGTACATGTTGAGGATGCTGGATGACTAGAGAAATTGAGGCTCTGGTCAAGAAAAAGAAGGAGGCATATAGTAGGTATAGACAGCTGGGATCGAGTGAATCCCTTGAGGAGTATAAGGGCAGTAGGAGTATACATGAGGGAAATCAGGACGGCAAAAGGGGGCTGTGAGATAGATTTGGTAAATAGGTTTAAGGAGAATCCAAAGAAATTCTACAAAAACATTACGGGCAAAAGACTAAGTAGGGAGAGAATAGGCCCCTTAACAATCAACAAGGCTGTCTATGTGTGGAACGGCAAGAGATGGGTGAGATATTTGGAAATAAAGTGTGATGTCTTGAAAAGTATCCAAATTAGAAAAGGAGGTGCTTTAAACTGCATAAAGGTGGATAAATCCCCCATACCTGATCAAGTGTCTTCTGGAACTCTGTGGGAACTGAGGGAAATGATTGCTGGGTCCCTTGCTGAGATATTTGTATCATTGATAGCCATGGGTGAGGTGCCGGAAGACTGGAGGGTGACCAATGAGGTGCCATTATTTAAGAAAGGTGGTAAGGAAAAGCCGGGGAACAATAGACCAACGAACCTGATGTCAGTGGTGGGTAAATTGTTTGAGGGGGTTCTGGGGGACAGGATCTATGTGCATTTGGAAAGGCAAGGACTGATTAGAGATAGTCGACATGGCTTTGTGCATGGGAAATCATGTCTCACTAACTTGATTGAGCTTTTTGAAGAAGTGACAAAGAAGGTTGATGGAGGCAGAGCGGTGGACATTTGTCTATATGGACTTCAGCAAGGTGTTTGACAAGGTTCTGCACGATAGACTGGTTAGCAAGGTTAGATCACATGGAATCCAGCAGGAGCTAGCCAATTGGATACAAAATTGACTTGAAGGTAGGAGATGGGGTAAGTGGTGGAGGGTGGAGGCCTGTGACCACTGGTGTGCTGCAAGGGTCAGTGCTTGGTCCACTGCTTTTCATCATTTATGTAAATGATTTGGATATGAATATAGGGGGTATGGTTAGTAAGTTTGCAGATAACACCAAAATTGGTGGTGTAGTGGACAATGAAGAAGATTATCTCAGAGTACAACGGGACATTGATTAGATGAAGTTTAATTTAGATAAATGTAAGGTATTGCATTTTGGAAAGGCAAATCAGGGCAGGACTTATACACTTAATGGTAAGGCCCTGGGGAGTGTTGCTGAACAAGGAGACCTGGCGGTGCAGATGCATAGTTCCTTGAAAGTGGAGTTGCAGGTAGACAGTGTGGTGAAGGTGGCATTTGGCACGCACGTCTTCATTGGTCAATGCATTGAGTATAGGAGTTGGGTTTTATAGGACATTGGTCAGGCCACTTTTAGAATGCTGCATATAATTCTGATCTCCCTGCTATAAGAAGGATGTTGAGAAACTTGAAAGGGTTCCGAAAAGATTTACATGGATGTTATCAGGGTTGGAGGGTTTGAGCTATAGGAAGAGGCTGAACAGGCTAGGACTTTTTTCCCTGGAGCATTGGAGGCTCAGGGGTGACCTTATAGAGCTGAGGGACAACATTTTTACACAGAGGGTGGTACGTGTATGGAATGAGCTGCCAGAAGATGGGTGGTGGAGAGGGGTACAGTTACAACATTTAAAAGACATCTGGATGAGTACATGAATAGGAAAGGTTTAGTGGGAGATGGGCAAAATGCTGGCAAATGGGACTTGATCAACTTAGGATATCTGGTTGGCATGGATGATTTGGACCGAAGGGTCTGTTTCCGTGCTGTATAACTCTGACTCCAAAAGAAAAAATACTATTTGAAAGTACTGATGGCTTCTTAACATCTGTTTATCTATGTGTTTGTTACAGCTTCTTCCTTCTATTCCATAAAATATTGCTTTGCTATTAGAATAAGGATGCGTGGAAATGCTGCCATAGACTACTGTGGTCCACAAGTCGCAAGGAAAACTGTTACATTTTAAATTTATGGTTACTGATAACAACTTTATATCTGAATTAATCTCTGTTTAATATTTTCCTCTCGTGCTGAACCATTACTGCCAACCCTGCCCTATGTTGCTTATTATGTAATTGTAAGAAGCCAGTTAGAAGTAACTCCCAAATTTGAGTGAAAATTCTCATTTCTCAGTCAGCTCACTGACAGAATATTCTATTTCCTGGGATGGGTTCAGTGGGGGAGGCAGTTCCTCTTCTCTCTCCAATCATCTCATTGCTGAAGTTTTTGAACATCATGGTGAATTGTTAGAGGAGAAAGATTTAAAAAGGACCAGAGGGGTAACTTTTTACACAGAGGGCGGTTCATACGTGGAATGAACTGCCACAGGAAGTAGTAGATGCAGGGACAGTTACAACATTTAAAAGGTATTTGGACAGGTACATGAATAGGAAAGGTTTAGAGGGATATGGGCCAGATACAGACAAATAGGACTAATTTAGTTTGAGAAACTTGGTTAGCATGGATGAATTGGACTGAAGGGCCTGTTTCTGCGCTGTGTGATCCTATGACTTTAAATTACATTTCACTGTTTCTATGCATGTATTTCAAAACTATTGGTAATCCATTTTTCAGAATTCTCTCCCAAAGTTGGATCAATTCAAGCTTCTTCCTTGGTCTGTGTAAGGGTAGCATTATAGATGTGTGTTTTGAATTTGTTTTATTTGAATATATATAGTATACAAGTTAAAATGAACGAGTAGCTATATGGTGGGAAATGTATCATGGCTTTATATGAAATTCTCTCCCTAACATATTGATTGTGTTTGTCCATTAATTTTAACTGTGTGGCTTGTTAAGCAACTTTAGGTAATATTTAAGACTCTTGTGGAACAGTGAATTTGGGGTTACATGTAGGCCATACTTTGTGTGCGTAGTAAACACTTCCCTGTATGCCATGAGCAAGCCAGGTTAATTTTTTAAAAATAGTCTGTAACTACACAGATTACTGAATTCAATCCATTGTCATTTTAAAGTTTGTTCCTGAAATGTGAGCATTCATAGCTTATCCCTAATTGGCCTTGTGAAGGTGGTGGTGCGCTGTTACCTTGAACTCCTGTAATTCATAGTGTGGGTGGTGTTGATGACCTGGGGATAAATATCACTGGATTAATAATCCAGATGCCCAGGCTTGGGACATAGATTCAAATCTCACCACACCAGCTGCTTAGTAAATCTGGCATATAGTCTTGGTAATAGTGACTGCAAAGCTATTGATTGCTGTCAAAACCCATTTGGTTCACTAGTGTCCTTTAGAGAAGGAAAACATACTTTATCTTACATGTGAACCAGATGAACCACGTTGTAGTTGACTCTTAACAGCTCTCTGAAGTGGCTAGCCAACCACTCAGTTCAAGGGTAATTAGGGATGAAGGACCAAATGGCAACCCAAGATGGTTCACCCCCAGTGATGTTGGGAAATCTTAGGGTTTTGACCTTGTGACAGTGAAGGGATGGAAATATGGCTCCAAGCCAAGAGGGTGAGTGAATTGGACAGAAATATGCAGGTTGTGAAGTTCCCATGCATCTATTGTCTCTGTTGTTTTAGTTGGTAAAGTTCACAGGTTTGGAACATGCTGTCTTCTTGAGCATTCAAATTTTATTTTCTTGAGCATATTCCATCATGTTTCCTCACTTGTGGCTTAAAGGTTGTCACCAGACCTCAGGAAGGAAGGTGCTTGTCACAGAATTTCCAACCCGAGCTGGTCTTGTTGTCACGGTATTTATTGTTATGTTGAATCAAGCTTTTTAGATATTGTCATGACACAACTCTGGGGCCGGTGAGATTTGAACCTGGTCTTTCTGATCCAGAGGTAGGAACACTACCACTATGCCACAAGAGTCCTTACAATGGTTGGTCCAGTTTTCTGCTCAGGATGCTAATAATGGGAGATCTGGTGACAATAATGCTGTTGAATATCAAGAAGAAATGATCTTTGTCTAGTATTTATGTGGTGCAAATGTCACTTGAGACTTATCAGGTGAAGCCTCAGTATTGGCTATGTCTTGCTGTACCATAGATAATGAAGCAATCCATTCCTTTGTAGCTTCTTTACCTTATCCTCACAGCCTATTTCTCAGCATGCTTGGATGTATATCACTCAGTCACTTCATCTAAGTCAGAGGTTGGTGATAGAGGCCCAAGCACAAATCCTTGCAGCGTTCCACTAGATACAGCCTGCTGTGTTAAAAATGACCTGTTTATTTCTGTTGTTTGTTTTCTCAATCCTGAATCCTTGCTAATATGTGAGTCCTAATCCTATGCAGTCTGATCTTGTGTCATAGCATCAATATTTATAATATTCATCTCCCACAACTTCACAAATACCACAGAATGTATACTGCTTTTGACTAAATACTTGTATAAAATAGAAGCTGTAGGATACATTTCTTGGAGGATATGAAGTAGTTTAAAGCTCAATCCATAGCTTACAGCCAGCAGAAATCACATGACAAGCTACTTT